GCGTGGCCACAATTTCCCGCGACCACAGGCCGTACTACGGCTCCCGGCATGCCTCGCACGCCGGACTACAGCTCCCGGCACGCCTCGCGCTTCTCGGTTCCCATTGGCTGTTCTGGAGGGCCCCGCCCCCTTCCCGCGGCAGGATTTGGCGCGGAGCTGTGTGATTGGCCACCGCGGCGGGCGGCGCAGCCAATGAGGGGGCGGAGGCGGGGCCTGGCCGGCTTGGTGGCGGGAAGTGCGGAGCGGCTGCAGAATTGGCGCGAGAAGGTGAGTGGTTGTGGCGGGACATGGGGGGACCTGGACCGGGGGGACCTGGGCTATGGGGCAGGCTGGGGGGGCGGCAGGAGCCTGGATCTTGTGGGACAGTGTTGGGGTTATCAGAGCGGGGCTGGGGGCAGCGACGTGGGGCAGGAGCTGGAACATGTGAGGCAGGGATGGAGGGGTCTGGGGTGGGGAGAGAAAGGCAGCAGCGACCTTGGGCTATGGGGCAAGAGCTGGGGATGCTGGGGGCAGGGCTGGGGGTGCTAGGCAGGGGGCACGTGTGGCTATGGGGCGAGGGTGCCCCATAGGTGGAAGGAGGTAGAGACCAAGGGAAATTAGCCAGGGATGTGGGGCAGGGAGGAACCTGAGGGGGAGATATGGGGCAGCTGGAGGGGGGGCAGTGCCCCACGGCTCTGTAGGCCCCCCACATCCACCAGTCCCCCTTGTCCTGCAGACGCCACCATGCCGAGCACCAGGACACGCAGCCAGGCGGCCATCGACTTCCCCCGCCGCAAGAGCGCCCGGCTGCCCGCCAAGAGCCACCGCGCCGCGGGCACCCCCGATGCCACCAACGTCAGCGCCGATGCCACCGCCAACCCCTGCGCCGTGCGGCTGGCGCCCTGCCCCGCAGCCCCGCTCTCGCCGCGGAGCCCGGTGCTGCCGCTGAGCCCCCGCAAGCGCCTGGGTGAGCCCTGCGGCGGGGCTGAGCATGGCGTCCCCGGCCCTCGCCATGTCCCCTGGCCCTGCTCTGCCCCATCCCTCTGACCCCCTGCGTCCCCCGCAGGTGATGACAACCTGTGCAACGTGCCGTGCGTTCCCACCTGCTCCCCCTCCAAGTGCAGCCGGAAGGAAAACCGAGGCCGTCGTTTGCTCTTTGGGGAGCAGCCGGTCCCTGTGTCCCCGGAGAAGCTGGGTGAACCGGCGCTGTCCCCACGGCGCCAGGGGCAGGAGACCCCCCGGAGCTCGGAGCAAGCCCGGGAGCGCGCCCGGCTCTTCCGGCAGGAAGGTGAGCTCCGGCGCACGGAAAGGGGCTACGATGCCCTTTCCTGCAGCGCCAGAGCCGCCTCCGACACTCCCGTTTCCCGGCACAGGCTCCCGCTTCCAGGAGGCGAAGCGCCTGCTGCACACAGCCGTCCCCGAGTGCCTCCTGGCGCGGGAGCGGGAGACCAGCGAGATCAAGCGCTTCCTGCGGGAACACGTGTGCGCAGGGAGGCCCGGCAGCCTCTACATCTCGGGAGCCCCCGGGACGGGGAAAACAGCCTGCGTGAGTCGGGTCCTGCAGGACTGCCAGGTGCGCGGGGGCCTTTGCCAATGCTGGAGCTTCCCCTCCGGTCAGCAGCCGCCGTCTCCCTGTCTGGGAAGGGAGATTTCTGCTGAGTCTGGAGCAGCTGGAGCTTGCGGCGCCCTGGGCTTTTGGAGAGGCTTTTTCCTCTTGCTCCTGCTCCGCTGCTTGGGGAGCAGGAGGGCGCGGGGCTGCTTCCTGCTGCGCAGCCGGGTTTCGTGTCGGGTCCGGTGCCCGAGACGATGTCCGCCGTGATGAGCGGTGCAGCTGGGGTGGGGGGAAGCGGGGGCTGCCGAGGTGCCGCGCGTCCCGCCGCCGCCGCCGCAGCTCTCCCGTGTCCCCGTGTGGCAGGGCGAGCTGGCGAGCAGCAAAACCGTCGTCCTCAACTGCATGTCACTGAGCAGCTCGCAGGGCGTCTTCGCGGCCGTGGCCTCGCAGCTGGGCCTGCAGCCCCGCGCGCCCGCCCGCGAGCTCGCGCGCCAGCTGGAGCAGCAGCTGACGGCCAAGGGGCCCATGGTGTGAGTTGCCCGCGCGGGGGTGGTTCCCTCCCCACAAGAGCTTTCCCTGGATGCACAAAGCCGGGGCGCTCGGCCCGCTCTGGGCACTGCAGCTGAGCTCCCTCCGCAGCCTCCTGGTGCTGGATGAGCTGGACCAGCTGGACAGCAAGGGGCAGGACGTGCTCTACACCGTGTTCGAGTGGCCCTGGCTGCCCGGCTCCCGCCTCGTCCTCGTCGGTGGGTGGCAGCGCGGGGCGCGCGGGGCTGGTCCGCCCGCTCCGGTGCGCGCTGAGCTCGCTCTGCCCGCAGGGATGGCCAATGCCCTGGACCTGACGGAGCGCGGGCTGGCGCGGCTGCAGGCCCGCCCGGGCTGCCGGCCCCGGCTGCTGCCCTTTGCGCCCTACACGCGCGAGCAGCTCGTCGCCATCCTGCAGGAGCGTCTGCGGCAGGTGAGCGCCCTGGGCCCGGGGAAACGGCTCTTCCTGGGGGTATCGGCCCTTCCCGGGGCTCCCGGCCCGTTCCGGGGCTGCGGGAGGGCTCCGGTGCAACCGGCTGCGTCTCCCTCGCAGGTGGCTGGTGACCCTGTCCTGGATGGTTCTGCTGTGCAGTTCTGTGCCCGCAAGGTCTCCGCTGTGTCCGGGGATGCCCGCAAGGCCCTGGACATCTGCAGGTCAGTGTCGCCTCCGGGAGGTGCCCGGTTTGGCCGCGGCTTTGGGCTGGGAGGTGACATTGGGGGCCGCTGGGGCGCTCCAAACCCCGGGGATCGGGGGTCCCGGCCGCTGTGCAGAGGGTGACACCTCTGTCCCCCAGGCGGGCGGTGGAGCTGGTGGAGCGGGACGCGAGGAGCCAGACGGTGCTCAAGCCGCTGCCCCCCGGTGAGTAGCAGCCGCGAGCCGCAGCCTGCGCCACCGTCCCCTCCGCCCCCGAGGGGCCGCGCGGCCCCCTGGCTGCCCCCCAACCGAAGCTCCGTGTCCCGCAGGGGCGGCCGCGGGGCCGCCGGGCCGCGCGGGGCTGCCGCAGGTGGCGCGGGTGCTGGCCGAGGTGTACGGCGAGCGCATGGCGCCCGGCGGCAGCGCCGCCCACGACTCCTTCCCGCTGCAGCAGAAGCTCCTGCTCTGCTCCCTGCTGCTGCTCGCGCGGCACCTCGGCGCCAAGGAGGTGACGCTGGGCAAGGTGAGTCCGTGGCGCCCGCGGGACCCCCCGGCGCGGTGCCAGCGCCCCGCTGTGACGCCCCCGTCCCTGTCCCCAGCTCCACGACACCTACAGCAAGGTCTGCCGCAGGCAGCGACTGGCGGCCGCCGGCCAGGCCGAGTGCCTGGCGCTGGCCGCCCTCCTCGAGGCGCGCGGCGTCCTCGAGCTGAAGCGCGCCAAGGACGCCCGGCTCGCCAAGGTGGGGACACGGCGGTGGGGACAGGGGGTGGCATCGGGGGTGGCAGGTGCTGAGCTGCTCGGGGGTCTCCGCAGGTCTCGCTGAAGCTGCAGCCGCGGGAGCTGGAGCAGACGCTGCAGGACGCGGCGCTGGTGGGGTCCGTCCTGGCACAGGGGCTGCCCTAGCGCCAGCGCCCTCTCCCCACCCCCCCTGCATGTGTATATATTATATTTTATTGTATTTTAATAATTTGGCGGGCGCGATGGCAGCTGCCGCTCTGCCCGGTGCTCGGCGAGCCCCGAGGAGGGAGCGGGAAGGGCCGGGCCGCCCCCGCCTATCGCAGCCCTAATAAAGTTTCTCGTTCRGAAACAAGGAGCCGCCTCCATCCCGCTCGGCGGCTGCTGCGGCCGCACCGCTCACATCCCGCGTGTCCCCACACACGGGTCACATCCCACGGCCTTGTCCCCCCTACCGCCCTCCCTGCGTCCTGGGCTCAATGACCCAACTTCATCTCCCACCCATTCCCCGTTTGTGCCAAGCATCTCTCCGGGGCCCCCAGCATCTCTCCTGGGCCCTGGCATGGGCACATGTCTCCCCTGTCCCCTTGTCCTCCCCCATCTACCAGGGCTGGCGCCGCGGTCCCGGGGGGCTGGAGAGCTGGGTGCTGCCATGGGGCCGGGTGCTGCCATGGGTCCCTCGTCACGCTGGTGGCCGGAAGGAAGCAGCTGGCAGCGTGTGTGACCGCAGTGACGCTGCGGTGACGTGGGCACCGCGGGGCCCGCGCCCCCCTCCCGGTGCCCATGCTCTCCCCACCGCCCCGCTCCCCAGCATGGGGCCCAGGGCACCGGGGTGTCCCCGGCGGCGGCAGCCGGGGCGCCCCGGCCCTGCTGTCCCCGCGCCACCCTCCAGCGCCCGCTCTGCCGCAGTGCATGAAAAATCGATGGCGCAAATTGATTCACTCGTGCGGGTGCCAGAGCTGCCCGCCGGGGCCGTTAATCACCCGCGCGGCCGGGCCCGCCAGCGCCGCCGCCACGGCCTTGGGGACACCCGACCCCGCGCAGCCGAGTGCGTGGGGACGGTGCCTCCCCGTGCCCAGCCCCTGGCACTTGCACATCCCTGTCCCCTTGCTCCATCAATTGCACATCCCTGTCCGCAGCCCCTGGCACTTGCACACCCCTGTCCCACCGCTGCATCAGTTGCACATCCCTGTCCCCTCGCTCCACCAAACGCACATCTCAGTTCCCGGGCCACGGCGCCTGCACGTCCCTTGCCCCTGCACACGCGTGTGCTGCACCCCTCTCTTGCACTTGCATGTGCCCGTCCCTCGGCTCCGGCGCCTGCCCGTCCTTGTCCCCTCGCTGCACGTCCCCGTCCCTCGCTGTGCCCGCGGCACCTCCCCGTGCGCTCGCGTGCGCGGCCGCCCCGCAGCGCGTGCGGGTGCCGGGCGCCCACCCGCGCGGCCGCGTCCCCGCSGCCCTGCCTGTCCTCGCTGCACTCCCCTTACATAAGCGGCCACGTGGCCCGGCCCGGTCCCCCCCCGCCGCGCTGTCACCGCCGCCACCCAGATCCCATCTGACAGCCCGTTTCCACTCGGCTGCGCCGCCCGGACCCCGCGCGACCCCGGCACCGGGGACGCCGGGCCCCAAGCGGGACACGGCCCGTCCCGAGCTGGCGCCCGGTGTCCCCGGTGCCGGGGCGCGGGGCGGCCGCGCGCATCTGGCAGTGATTTGGCGCATTCCTCCCGGCTGAGTGCACGGCGGCCGCTGGGCCCCCCTTAGCCGCCCCCCGCGCTGAGGCCGCGCACGCTCCTCACACGTGTGACAGTGACCGGGGGTGGCAGCGGGACCGGGCCAGGCTGCCCCCCCGCGGCTCCTCCGGGGTGCCCGCGCGGCTCCTTTTCCTTCCCTTTTTTTTTCTCAGCAAAGCGGCTTTTTTATTATTTTCCCTAGCGGCGGGTGCGTGTGCACGCGTGTGCATCTGTGTTCGTGCCCACGCACACGTGTGTGCACGCCGCGGCGCGTGCATGTGCACGTGTGTGTGCATGCATGTGCTCACGTAGGCACGGGGGGGGGGGTCCACAGGCCCCTGCGGCCCCTCGGAGCCCGGGGCGGCCCCTGCAACCACCCGGGGACCCCTGGCCGAGGGGGGGGCAGGGGCACCTCATGCCCCCCCGGTGCCATCCTGCTGGGTCCCCGAACCACCCCCTGTGTCCCCAACTCTTCCCCACCCCCTGCCGTGTCCTGCCCCGTGGCCCCAGGTGACCCCTCCCGTGTCCCCACGCGGTTCCCCCCCCACACGCGATGGCCTTGGCTGACCCCTAGCCTGGGAGGGGCGCAGTTAAGACCCCCCCCTCCTCCGGAGACGAGGCGCATGCGTGGCGGTTCCGAAGCCGAACCGGAGCGGCCCGCGGTGCTGCGCGCACAGCAGCCCCCTCCCCGCCGCGATGCGGCCCCTTTAAGCGCGCCCCCTCCCCCATCCCCCCGCGCGCGCGCCCACGTTCCCCCCTTCCGCCTTCCGCCACTTCAAAGAGTTACAATGTAGCCAGCGCCCCGCCCCCTTCGGCGCGCCCC